TTAAGTCAGATAGTGTTGGTAGCACATATGTTAAGACTCTTTCTGACCATGCATATGATTCGGGATTCGATTCCCTGCCGTCGCACACCTGCTATCTATGGTCAGCCAGCGAAATTTGGGCTACCGATATCACATGCTGAAAATTCCATACTTTTACCAAAACTACGGTGTGGAACCAAGTTGTAATCAAAAATAACAAAACAAAATTATAAAAAAATAAAATAAAAGCAATTGCAAACGAATTGAAAACATAAAGCCGGATTAGTTAAAGCTCTCAGAAACCTAAAATAGTTCATCCGTATTCTATGCTGCATATCATCGCCGTTGTTTCACATAAAGTTTATTCAGTTCAGGTATCAATTCGAAATGAACAACGTCTAAGAAAACCTTCAGACAACAGCTGTGCATTCATAAGGACGAAATAATTCCACATGATGTACTACTATCTGACGTTTTCAGCAAACAGAAGTTAAAGGCATCGATGCATGCAGTCGACAGAATTCGAAAATCACATTCCAATCAAAGTCGACTCACAAAATACTTTCGTTGTTTTCTTTACTGAAAATGTTCACCATAGAATTTCCAGCAAATTTTCCTATATCTGGACAATATCCATTTTGGCCACATGGTATTATCCACCTCAATGTGTTGGTGATTTTTATGGTCGTATCTGGTGTCTATGGAATCCATACTGGCAGTCTTATTCAGGTTATCCACCTTATCCACCAGTGCTCGGTGCAAATCCTAGGAAAAGAAGTAATTTCAACGTGAAATGAACAGAAGGACGAAAAACGAATGATGACTCTTATTTTATGACTGCCAGTTTATTCATTACTCAAAAACACACTCTATAGCGTTCAGTGCAGTTTCATCTGATGAGGTTGCTTGTATCTGTATCCATACTGACAAATAAAATCTATTTTTAAGCTAGCTTCTTTTATACTCATTGTGTTTTCATTCCATATTTTAACATTTCCTTTGATAAGAATCACGCTTGATATCTTTCAAATATCTTCAAGGAAACTGTGGTCAAATTTTATACTGACACGGAGGTTTATCCTTGAGTAAAGAGAGGTTGAATATATATGTACTCCCTGCTCTAATGTTTTACATTATAAATCTGACACCATCAGCACATTTCCGCTAGGTAATATCCGATGTGGTTTTGAATTCTGGTGGCGATACGTAACTCATTACTGCATAGTAAACATGAATAAAGATGGTAAGAATTTGTTTCATTGCTTCCGAAAGCTAAAGATAATATCTAGACGACGTGAGCGACATATAACAACTCATGAAGGTGATTCTAGTTATCATGACCAAGTCCTATTTAACCACCTGATAAAATTCTGTGTCATCAGTTTAATCATCAGAAATTACTTGTATAAAATATGGTTCTAAAACCCATGATTGACCTCTGCAGGAGAGAGAGGAGATTTATATATATATATATATGGGTTCCAATCCCGGTGAGTGTGTATTGATGGAGAGTCCCAAACTAGGACGAAATAGCTGCCCAGTACACCCAGGTTTTCCAATGGTTGTCTAACTAATGTCAGCTCATGATGAAATCATGTAACGCGAGAATTATTTTAACGCTTCAATTTTTTTGAGTACACAAGATAATGTGAACAAATGGGAAACACGTTGTCCATAGTCTGTGGTGATTTTAATTCATGTGATCACAGCTTTCTTACTTCACTTGGTCATGAGAATCTAGTCAAGTTTAATACACGTCTGGACAAATCACTAGACCTGGTTTTCATAAATGACCGTGATGTATATGAAACCCGAAGGAGAGCTCCTTTGCTAAACTCTGAACACTGCATTATTCGTATTTTACCGAAAGTGTACGGCAAGTTACAACAAAAATTGTTTAGTCATTTAACAAAGAAGATACATGAACGTTCATATTCCCATGACAACATTCTAGCACTAAGAAGCATGTTGTATGATACCAACTGGGAACTATTTACTGACGATAAGTTGGATGCTACTGTCTCTAATATAACCGATTATCTGAAGTTTTGTTTGGAAATTTGCTGTCCATATGAAACACTGTTTTCGAGATTTGACAGAATCTCTTCTGTGCAACTGAAAAAACTTAGAAGACTAAAAGAGAAGTTGTATAAGAATAGTGATAATACTGGTGTCCGTAAAATAAACACCCTTATAAAAATTGAAATAGAAAGGTTGAACAGACTATATAATGAAAAATTTTTATCATGTAAAAATCCTTCAAACATTTGGAAACTTTTCAATAAACTTACAAGTAAAAAACAAATGTCTGTTGATGCTTATTCTGATGTTAATGCTTTAAACAAATCATTTATCAAGAAACAAATTAATATGGTTTTACCTGATGTACCTAGTCAAGAAAATGGTCATTCTCCTGGTTTTAAAGAAAAGGATGTACTATTATGTTTGAAATCATTACATCCAACACATAGCCTTGGTCCAGATGGTGTACCAAACATTCTTCTTCAAAAGTGTGCAGACATCATGTGTCATCCTCTTACTCAAATCTCTAGCGCATCATTTAACAGGGAAACGGTACCTGCTGACTGGAAAGAAATCAAGGTTGTACCTGTAGAGAAATCATCTTCTGGAGCAAATATAAAGTTAAGACCGGTCGCTATAACATCTCCTTTTTTGAAAACTATGGAGAAACTTCTTTTGAATATTTTTAAACCTTCTTTAAAAGCTTTTAGTGACCCTAAGCAGTTTGCTTATAGGTGTGGAAGAAGTACATTAGATGCAGCCATTGTACTACACCACAATATTGTCTCCTGCCTTGATAAGGGTGCTAAGTTCGTTCGAACAGCTTTTTTACACTATACTGCAGCTTTCAACTCTGTTCCTAGGACACTTTTATTAGGAAAGATGATTTCAGCACAAACAGAGTCCTGGGAAACTAGATGGCTGTCTTCTTATTTTAAAGATAGGAAACAGCATACTGTTTTGGCTGGAAAGCGCTCCACTTCTCAGCTAACTGAAAGTGGTGTGGTACAATGGCTGCATCTAATGTACTTCTTCCACACCTATAAGCAAACTGCTTAGGGTCACTAAAAGCTTTTAAAGAAGGTTTAAGAATATTCAAAAGAAGTTTCTCCATAGTTTTCAAAAAAGGAGATGTTATAGCGACCGGTCTTAACTTTATATTTGCTCCAGAAGATGATTTCTCTACAGGTACAACCGTGATTTCTTTCCAGTCAGCAGGTACCGTTTCCCTGTTAAATGATGCGCTAGAGATTTGAGTAAGAGGATGATACAAGATGTCTGCACACTTTTGAAGAAGAATGTTTGGTACACCATCTGGACCAAGGCTATGTGTTGGATGTAATGATTTCAAACATAATAGTACATCCTTTTCTTTAAAACCAGGAGAATGACCATTTTCTTGACTAGGTACATCAGGTAAAAACCATATTAATTTGTTTCTTGATAAATGATTTGTTTAAAGCATTAACATCAGAATAAGCATCAACAGACATTTGTTTTTTACTTGTAAGTTTATTGAAAAGTTTCCAAATGTTTGAAGGATTTTTACATGATAAAAAGTTTTCACTATATAGTCTGTTCAACCTTTCTATTTCAATTTTTATAAGGGTGTTTATTTTACGGACACCAGTATTATCACTATTCTTATACAACTTCTCTTTTAGTCTTCTAAGTTTTTTCAGTTGCACAGAAGAGATTCTGTCAAATCTCGAAAACAGTGTTTCATATGGACAGCAAATTTCCAAACAAAACTTCAGATAATCGGTTATATTAGAGACAGTAGCATCCAACTTATCGTCAGTAAATAGTTCCCAGTTGGTATCATACAACATGCTTCTTAGTGCTAGAATGTTGTCATGGGAATATGAAGGTTCATGTATCTTCTTTGTTAAATGACTAAACAATTTTTGTTGTAACTTGCCGTACACTTTCGGTAAAATACGGATAATGCAGTGTTCATAGTTTAGCAAAGGAGCTCTCCTTCGGGTTTCATATACATCACGGTCATTTATGAAAACCAGGTCTAGTGATTTGTCCAGACGTGTATTAAACTTGACTAGATTCTCATGACCAAGTGAAGTAAGAAAGCTGTGATCACATGAATTAAAATCACCACAGACTATGGACAACGTGTTTCCCATTTGTTCACATTATCTTGTGTACTCAAAAAAATTGAAGCGTTAAAATAATTCTCGCGTTACATGATTTCATCATGAGCTGACATTAGTTAGACAACCATTGGAAAACCTGGGTGTACTGGGCAGCTATTTCGTCCTAGTTTGGGACTCTCCATCAATACACACTCACCGGGATTGGAACCCATATATATATATATAAATCTCCTCTCTCTCCTGCAGAGGTCAATCATGGGTTTTAGAACCATATTTTATACAAGTAATTTCTGATGATTAAACTGATGACACAGAATTTTATCAGGTGGTTAAATAGGACTTGGTCATGATAACTAGAATCACCTTCATGAGTTGTTATATGTCGCTCACGTCGTCTAGATATTATCTTTAGCTTTCGGAAGCAATGAAACAAATTCTTACCATCTTTATTCATGTTTACTATGCAGTAATGAGTTACGTATCGCCACCAGAATTCAAAACCACATCGGATATTACCTAGCGAAAATGTTCTGATGGTGTCAGATTTATAATGTAAAACATTAGAGCAGGGAGTACATATATATTCAACCTCTCTTTACTCAAGGATAAACCTCCGTGTCAGTATAAAATTTGACCACAGTTTCCTTGAAGATATTTGAAAGATATCAAGCGTGATTCTTATCAAAGGAAATGTTAAAATATGGAATGAAAACACAATGAGTATAAAAGAAGCTAGCTTAAAAATAGATTTTATTTGTCAGTATGGATACAGACACAAGCAACCTCAACAGCTGAAACTGCACTGAACACTATAGAGTGTGTTTTTGAGTAATGAATAAACTGGCAGTCATCAAAATAAGAGTCATCATTCGTTTTTCGTCCTTCTGTTCATTTCACGTTGAAATTACTTCTATTCCTAGGATTTGCACCGAGGACTGGTGGATAAGGTGGATAACCTGAATAAGACTGCCAGTATGGATTCCATAGACACCAGATACGACCATAAAAATCACCAACACATTGAGGTGGATAATACCATGTTGGCCAAAATGGATATTGTCCAGATATAGGAAAATTTGCTGGAAATTCTATGGTGAACATTTTCAGTAAAGAAAACAACGAAAGTGTTTTGTGAGTTGACTTTGACTGGAATGTGATTTTCGAATTCTGTCGACTGCATGCATCGATGCCTTTAACTTCTGTTTGCTGAAAACGTCAGATAGTAGTACATCATGTGGAATTATTTCGTCCTTATGAATGCACAGCTGTTGTCTGAAGGTTTTCTTAGACGTTGTTCATTTCGAATTGATACCTGAACTGAATAAACTTTATGTGAAACAACGGCGATGATATGTAGCATAGAATACGGATGAGCTATTTTAGGTTTCTGAGAGCTTTAACTAATCCGGCTTTATGTTTTCAATTCGTTTGCAATTGCTTTTATTTTATTTTTTTATAATTTTTTTTGTTATTTTTGATTACAGCTTGGTTCCACATCGTAGTTTTGGTACAAGTATGGAATTTTCAGCATGTGATATCGGTAGCCCAAATTTCGCTGTCTGTGTATTTACATATTTTTCTTTATACATTAAAAATCTGTGTTCATGTTTAGTGCAAATTTAAGTGACATGACTTTCTATTTCAATTTTTATTGCTGAACTCATTGTATATGCTTTCAGTCTTTACTTGATTCACATACCTTCTCGCGTTTATGCATGCTGTAATATATCCCTATTTTTATCCAAAAGTTGCTATTACTATTATTATTTACTTCATAGTTTTACGTATCATTTTCCGGTTGTCTCTCCGGACCTCTAGGGGGGGAGCCGTGTTGAGTACGTAACAATGTGATTGTACACTTTTTGGTTACTTGTATAAATTCGAGATATTGTACATAATTTTTGTTTAAATCGCTTCTTGTTGAAATATACATAACTTCCGTGTACAATTGAAAAATACACTCTGCTGTTGGAGACTTCGTCTTCTCCCTGGTCACTTCTGCTTACTTGCTCCACTCACACCGTGTTGTATACTTCGGATTTATTGTAGGAGCCTACTACTCTCAACCGAAGACATTTCTACAACCGGAACACAGCAGCTACAGCAGACGCAGTCCAAACAATTAACGTGCCCGTGGATTATATAATTAATTTGTAATTATCTACAAGTAATCCTTTTTGTTGCTATAACTCGTCACTGTATTTTTGGTAATATATTGTGATTTAACACTCCACTGACTTAGATTATTACTTTTATACTTGGAATGTTAGTGAACTCTAATATTAGTCCCCTACAAATTCATAGATAGCAGGTGTGTGTCAGCAGGGAATCGGACCCCGGACCATGCGCATGGCCGGGAAGAGTCTTAACATATGTGCTACCAACACTATCTGACTTAAATTATATTCTCCATTTTTCCTAAGACTGAATATTTGTCATCGGACGAAAGAGCGGTATTGGACAGTGATCAACTCACACCCTCAATGTGGCAATGAATTCATAAGGTTAAAGACGTTATAGTCAAGATTTAATCATGAGTTACCCTGAATCGAGAGAGAATTGGAAATACGTCCAAGTCTATAGGACTCAATGAAACATATGCAGTGTTTACTCGAAGACCTTTTAAAACATGTAGTATAATGTTTATCACATATGAAATCACGTATTTACCATAATGCAAATAACATACATACACACATACGCATACAAATCTAATATTTACAAATCAACTAAGGGAGAGTGAATGCAACAACAATTTACATATGTCATTACAAATATATGTGATGACTGCTAGCATATTTCTATTTGTAAAAATGTCCATGGACAAGTGAACTTCAAATAAATGGACTTCAATTTATGTTTTTTGATAGCGTTATTAGAAGACAGAGATTATCTGAAAGTGTGATGTATTTGTGCTATACATTTCGAACAATCTGATCACACATTTACTTGTCAAGTCAATATATATGGAAAAGTTGAATTAAACAAAGTGACAGAAAAAGGATTTAAGAATTATTAACACAAACGTTTGGTAATCCAATTAAATGAGGATTACCAAGGTAGGTTAAGAGTAATAACAAACTGTTTCTGAATACACAAAGGGGGCTTAAGTTTATGAATAGCTATAGCCTCAGCGTATTTCAGTAAACGCCCTTGACCGTTTTTATAGATGACCTTAAAGGCTGAGTTAACATCAGTCTTATGGTTCATCTCGATTAGATGTTTAGCTATAGACGAAGTTGGTAGTCTGACACCTGCATCTATTGGCTTTCACAATTCATTTGTTTTTGTAACCATCTTGAGATATGCTCTCCCACCCTCACGTGCAAAGCGCGATTACTCCTCCCTATGTATGTATATCCACACGCACACACACGAAAATTGGTAAATAGGGTGTGATGTGATATAATCACTTGTGCACCTTTGAGGTTTGCAGTGAAGCATGTTTTTAGCTTTTTCCACAATTACAAGCTGGGTTGCACAGTAGCTTCTACGGATGATCGAATTCAACCTTTGTCTCAAAATCCAACTAGACATATGCGGGAAACGAGAAAACAGGGATATCCTGGACCGACATGAAGAACCTAGAAGACCTGGATTTCGCGGGTGGATGATTTATGTTTGATGTCACACAAAATCGAAGACTTACAAGCGAAAACCGACAAACTGGTCGAAGAATCAGCAAAGACAAGACTCCAAGTGAACATAGACAAGACGGAGGTTATGAAAATAACCAACCAACAACAATAACAACAGCAGCAACATCCATCGCCAATCACCATCAACGGGAGGGATTCAAAAGAGGTTACTATTCACTTATCTAGCATTGAGCATTGTCTCAACTACAGGGAGTCGAAACGGACGAGGATATCAAATCGAGCGAGAATCTGGAAGGCGATAAACACGTTATTCATCAACCTGAAACCAATCTGGAAATCTTCGTCACTCAGCCAGAATCAACAACAAAATTCGGTCGGATTTTCAATACAAACGTTAAGTCAGTCGGTTCTTCTATACGGATCAGAAACGTGGCGGGCGGGTCAAAAAGAATATTTCCGACAGCCTGTTGCGGACATTTATCAACAACTAACTGTCTTCGCCCTATACTGAAGATCAGATGGCAGGGCTGAAAAGAATCACCAACAAGAAACTATAGGAACAAACAAAAAAGAACCAATCGCCAACCAACAAATATGCAGGAGAAAGTGGAGATGGATCGGACACTCGCTGAGGAGACCACTGGGTGACATCGCGCGTCAAGCCCTCTAGTGGAAGCCGAAAGGGAAGCGGCGAGTGGGACATCCAAGGGTGACATGGAGGAGATCGTGTGAAGAGGAGTTGAAAGAGTATGGACTAACATGGATGCAGGTGAAAAGTACAGCAGAAGGAAGACAGAAGCAAGTGGAGACGTGCAGTTGAAGCCCTATGTTCCACTAGGAACCCAAGGGAGCAATAATAATAATAATTAAGATTTATACACAACAAAATTATTGTGAAATAAAATTTTCAAAAATGCACACTTACGGTTCTGACCAAACACACAGTATGATAGCAGCATGAAGATGAAGGGTATGTGTAATCTAAAAATGATTGAAAAGACTAGTCAGTTATCAGGTTAACAATGTTGGTAGAACAATTTAGACATTTATCAAGACAACAAAGATAGGATATTGTTGATGTGATCATTCACTCACTTCATCTTAACTGAAGACTAGTTCTGAATTACTCTCGATCAACTGAGCTGAGTAAGAGTTAGCTGAGCTTAGACAGATAATTTATGTATATTTTTTCTAGGGTTCACATAGATCGAAAGGAGGACGTGTGGTCTATGCATTTAAGAATGAAGGGTTTTATTGCTTCTTGCTGAATCTCATGATTATTTTCTGGGGTAATTATTAACTGTGTGAACTTGAATGACATGAATGTGAATCTTGTGTTCAGTGAATACAGGTCAAAGTTCTCTTCTAATCACACAGTCAATCAAAAAAGATAGAGTGTTTGACCTAGATAATAATAATATTAATTGTAATTACACCATCTCACTCCTACAGTTTACTCAGTCATTCTCGTAAATGCGTTCATTTTATAGTAAATTGTTGGTTGAATTCGAATTTTAACATATTCGCATTTGAGTTAGAACAAGAGGAGTGAATTTAATAAACAACAATTGACGAGTAGTAGTTCCATTTTGATAACATCAGTATTGTTTGATCACATTCTGCTGTAAAAATGGACAATCTGCGACATACTTGAGTGACTCAAAGGGTGAGGTTGACATCATGGAAGATAATCGAACAGCCAAGTCAAGAGAACATTCGAAGAAGGGTGAAAACAACAACTGTTTTCAATAAGCTAGAAGCGTTTTCATCCAATATTCGCTTTCTTATAACCAAAGAAATGGATGAATCTCACATTCTTAAATTATATTTCTACCTGACTTCACTAAGCTCACACACATAGATTTGCTTCTACCTCGTTCAGATATTTATCTGTTCGTCAGAGGGTTTGATAATTGCAAAGGTCGTCAGTGCATTAAAATAGAAGGCAGAAATATCACTTTTTGTTGAAGATATCTGCAATGTTCACTTACCTACTATTCACTTCGAAAGTACTCCTTGGCTCCCAGCAGTTCCGCAGCACTTAAAACACTCTTCCCATTTCCAAATCATTCAACAATTTACTCGACGCTGAATTCAAAACAGTCGACGTCAATCTGTTGACCTCTGGAATAGTGATAAAATCCTTGTCCCAACCAACTGTTTGTTTGCTCCAACGATTGGATGTGTTCTTCTCAGTGCAGCATTTCTCATAACCTTGGTGAATAGGTTCAAAAAATAGATTTACCAAACCTTTATTGTATCATATATTTAGACTATGGGTTTCATAAGGGATCTGGATGAATTCAAACAAACCAAAGTCACGTAAAGATAATTCAAAGCCAAGAAGCACTGGATGACTTTAAATATATGTAGCGACTAAAATCGACGTGCTATTGTCCGATCAACGGGAACGAAACTTCCGTTCTACCAAGGCTACTCCAAGTCACAGTATGCACCCATTAGTGCGAAATGAGAGTTATTTGCTGTAAAACTTTTGGTACTATTTAACAGTAATAACATATCAAAAACACAAAATTACCTCAAAAATGCCATTAGGCAGATGTACAGTTCAGAAAATTTTCACTTACAAAATTACTACTGTAGAACAAAATTAATTGACTGAAATCATCCCTAAGAAATACCTGAGAATCAAGAAGAGTATTTTCTGCAAGAATCATGTATCAGCCCTTTTTGCAAACATTCCAACGTCATTATCGTTACAGTCAACCTTGAGTTGATTCAAACAAAAATTACAATCGTAAAACAAAACATTATCAGTACTATCAAGCAAATGCACAGAGAAGCATTAGAATTAGCATTCAGACAGAAACAAAAGTAAACCTTGTGAATAAAGTCAATAGATAATATGTAAACGTTAGGAAAAAAGAGGACAATAGTTAGAGGATAATAGTTAAAGTTGATCTGGATCAAATATATTGGTTAGGGGGACACTATATCTTCAAATAATAAAATAAGAATTCACAGTTCATGGAATCCAAGTCCAAGTGGCTGAATGGTTAAAGCATTTTGGCTCATAGCCTGAAATCTGAGCGATCGGTCCCAGATGAGATAATGATTGTGTACTGCCAGAGGATATATATATATATATTCTGTCCCGGTTAGAACATTCTATTGTCTCACTTAAATATCACCGAAATTACTCCTATTTTATAAAATATCAGCTCTCACTTATCTTGTAATTACATCAAGAGGTTTCATGAAAGTGTAAGATAACACGTATATTTATATAACTAGGTGTACACACATAGGAGACGTAAATGAAATCATTCAACGATTAGTTTAGTCCTATACTGACTGTGCTACTCTTTAAAATCTTTTCAATTCAGGAAACAGTTCACTCCAAACATTAGATGGTGGTGTTGGATGTCCCACTGTGGATTGTGTATGCAGTATTATGAAACACAAAGTGATACCTTGAAATTTCTTCAAACTCAGAATGATACAGCTGTAATTTCTAATGATATTGTCTCCGGTTGGAGGTTGTCTACATTACGGCGTTTTGGTGTTACTAGTGTTTCTGAGAATTCCAAGTATTCTTAATCTTGAAGAGACAGCTTATTATCTCAACAGGAGGTTAAATTTATCAGATAAAATACTTGAGCAAAATGGTGATTGAAATGATGAAAGTGTGACAAAATATTAGTTTGTTAAGTTTCCTAATAATTTTACTGCTTTCAAACAAACTTGAAAGCATGTGACTGGATCAGTTTAAACACAGTGAAAACAAATATCATGACTATTCCAAAATAGGTCAAAGGTGTATTAACTTAATTTGATGATTTGCTATATTTGATTTTAACTTGATTAACTTGAATCACATCCATCTATGATGCAATGCAGAAGAATGAAAAAATAGTCCAATATCAAGAATAGGTGTTATTTCTTTGGATGAGTCATTAATCTACGAATATTGGAATTGTAGTTATCGAACGTGACTAAAAGTCATATTATAAGTCAGTTTAGAATAGGAAACCTTTGAAATGAATTCGAAAATTTCGTGGTCTGATTTTGTCCTCCATAAAGAATTTTAGATAGAGTAATATTTATATATTTCTTCTGGGGTAATAAAAACTGATACAGGATAATTAGTTTTTTTCTCAAAAGTACACGTGATCACATATTTCATGACTGTAAATGTCAAAAGTGGAACTGACATCCACTTATCACTGTGAAATCTGAAGCTGTGAGAATACAGACTGCTTTTCTACAGGGAAAATAATACACTTATCTGGTAGGCAGAATACCTTAATAGCAGGTTAGTTGTTTGATGTGAGCTGACGGTTCATCACAGCATCATTTTATTAGTGTCAACTCGTCAGCTGGATCTACATGCATCCCAAGTCTGGAGAGGGAGGTCTCAAATGACTGACGAGTAAAGCAGGTGAAGAAATATTAGAGTAGATCTCAATCTTTAGATGTTGGTTGGATCGGAAAAGAAACAGAGATCTTCATCACTCTGACATCATTGTGGGAATCTGTTGCATTTAGCCTAATGGAACGTGATCCGAATCTTCAGTGCTAATTTAAAATCGGCAGGTATATGTGGTTAATTCTGCTGTATAGTGAAAAACAAATAGCCCGAATGAATTCCTGAAATGAAGCTATGGTAACAAAACAACCAAAAGCCTATTGCTCAATAGTGATGTAAGATAAAATGGAGATGGATCGGGCACAATTTAAAGAGACAGTGGCAGCCAGAGCGCTAATACTGTGGGAACCAATTCCGTCCTGCAGGATCGTGACAGCAAGATTCAAGTCAGAAGACTAAAAGGAAGGTAACAATTATCCAATGCTACAAACAACGTGGAACAAGAAAAGAAGGAGGATTCTTACAGACAACTACAATCAGTAGTGGACAACATCCCGAATGGTGACATCAAAACCCTTATGGGTGATATGAATGTCAGCTAAATGGGAGCAGATAATACAGGAGCAGAACTCATCATGGGTTGAGAAGCAGTTGTTTGGGGAAATCAATGAGAACGTAGAATCATTCGAGGGCTTGTGTGCCACCAATGATTTGATGATCGGAGGGAGCGTTTACAATGACGAGGATATACACAAAGCAACATGGACTTCGCCTGGCGAACATACCATAAACTAGATAGATTTCATCTCAATGCTCCTCAAAGAAGTGGGAACGCAACTAGTCTGCTGGATACAAACTCGATAAGGGAAGCAGGTATGGGCAAAGACCATCATCTAGTTCAAAAAACTTTCAAGGCTAATTTGAAATCCTTCAGAAAACCCAGAGACGGACTATAACTGAAGTTCAACATCATGAAACTAAAGGTCAAAACTACAAGGGATGCCTTCGCTACTGATCAGATTAGAGCAAAGTCGGAGATGCTACGTGTTATCAACGAGGAGACATGTCTGGAAGAACACTGGAACTCTCTGAAGGAGATAGATATTCAAGGAAACATGTACAACTGCTATAGGAAGAAAGAAAATACAACAGAAGGAGTGGTTCTCAACGGACATCTAGAAGCTAACCGAGGAGCGGAGGATGAAGGAAGGCAATATGACTCAATGCAAAGACGAGCAAAAGAAGGAGGAACTCATGTCACTGTGCATTGCACTGAATAAAGAAGTGAAGAAGAGAACCAGGAAGGACACAAGACAATTCTAGGACATACTGGCTGGTAACTGAGGCAGAACAAGTAGGCCGAAGTTGAAAGACACTTCAGCACATGATATCAGACAACCAGGCTGCTCGCCATCTGGAAAAAACCAACCCAGATGATGAAACATTTAAAAGATGGTTGAGGGAACCTCGTAACGAAGAAAAAGAAACAAATGTAACAACGGGCTGATAACTTTACTGCACTCTTGAGTCGACCATCACCTGCAACTCTCCCAGAAATATCACCAACAGAAATATCTCAAACAGCCTACAGCAGACTTTCATCAACAACCGCTACCTTCCCTGGCTGGCTCCATACTGAAGAGAAAATTGCCAGGATGAAAGGATTAGCAACAAGAAACGCCAGCTGATAACAGACCAACGGAGCAAGAGCCAATCACTCAACAAATATGTAGGAGGAAATGGAGATGGATCGGGTGCACGTTGAGGTTACCGTCGAATGACATCGCGTGGAATGCAGGCCATCGATCGAGTGGGAATTCAATGGGTAGTTACGAGTGGGTCGTCAGTGCAAGGGTGACGTGGAGGAAATAATGTGAGGAAGAGAAGAGAGCGTTTGGTCAATTGTAGAACCAGCTGAAGAGAATGGAGGAAAATAGAGCGAATTGGAGGTGTGTTCCTGAAGCCGTATGTCTTATTCGGAATCCAAGATAACAATATTATTAAGAATAAATAATAATAAGTAAATAATAATAAAATTAATAATAAGAGCCTGGACATTAAAATCATTCCATAACACTTACAACGCCCACATTTTTGTTATATGCATAACTTTTATACCATTTTGTATATCCTTTTTCGTCTATAGCCTTTTGTGTATTCTCATAAAGATCAGTCAACGAAGAAACTCATTGGACTAATGGCATTTGTTGGGAAGCCTTAATGCATGCATCACGAATATACTCCTAATTTCATCATTCGATTATTTCATTAGAGTTAAGACAGAAAAAGGTTTCATCTGTGGTAGACATACAGCCTACAGCATTTTACAAAACCAGGTGGATAATACGTATTAAAAAAGCATCCACTGTGTATCAGGTCAACAACACTCACCTGAATAATTTTCAACACCACCCAAGCATTTGTCTCTTATTGGTCCTTCTTCAAGATAAAGACTTAGACACCAATCATCAGATCTTGAGTGACTACTTCATGCTTAATAACGTGTCAAACAGTGTGTAACTGCACCATCAAACAAAAACACAAAAGACACCTGATGCAAAGACATTATACCATTGAAAGTCATTTATTTCTAATGAATGACTAATTCTGTCTGTTTGTATTATAACGAATTAATCGTGTACCAGTGATCTGATTGATTCGAAACAGTCACACAATCTTTTCTAGAAGTCGAATGACCTAATTAAATTGAGGTAACCACGTGATAATAAACCGTGATTGTGTAACAGGTAAAAATATATATAAATACTACAGTTATATTTAGCTAATCAGTTCATCTGTCATTAGAGAAATTGGTACGTGTAACTACTATTATTATTAATTATTAATATTAATTATTATTATTATTATTACAATCAACATCAAACAGCTTTATACTTCATACATTTATTACGCTCTATGAATCTGAACGAAGCAAGAACAACAGTTTTTGCAGAGTAGAATGGTACCATCATTTATTTTGTCGGCTTCTTATAACCTGCTCACAACTCAAAGACATCATTAAGTATACGTATAGAAACAATCTTGACATCCTTGAAGAGTTCATCTTTAAACAAAAATTAGTCAGTCAATGTATGTAAACAATGCTAGTAATGATAATAAACACTTTATCCCGAACAATAATAGTCAAACACAATGGAAACATTGTGTAATCAGATGAAAGAGAGAATGAAAATGTCGAGTTGGAAGTGAAAACAAAAACTGACAACCATTTCTTTCTCAACGCATAAATTGGGTTCAACGGCCTTAATGGAGATTGCTTAAGCAAACTTCAGGATAGTTGAACACGTTTCCTAGCCTGCTGATATTTTCAAATGATCTTGCGACGTCCACCTTATGATGCGTGTCAAAGAGATGCCTGGCGACGGCGATGTTAAAAGTATCTGTTCCCTTTAGACATAGGCTTTTTGTTACATGTTCAGAAAATCGTAGGTATGCCCTTCTTTCTGCAACTGCTTCCGCAGATATATGTAAATTTGTATATACAGTTGGAGTTAACGTGATAAGAATATCAGTCAATTTTTGACTGCACCAAAAAGCAAGTTGTTCGAGAGATGGAAACCAGCGTGGCTGCAGGATGGGCTATGGCTAGTCACCTCTCAATCTTCTGCTCAAAATTCCTGTAATATTTTCACTTTTGAAATCAAATTGAATGAAGTTGTGCGTTTTTCCACTGCGGTTTCCTCGACATAACAGCCTTCAGATATCCCATACTTATTTATTAATGAACCTTTTACGATAAATATTGCTTTTCAACATCTTTCATATGTCATGGCTCGGGAAAGAGTTCTTAAATATTTAAGTGCAAAATGCACAATTAATAATAGCAAGTTAGAAATTACGGACGTATCTATCTCCAAAACTGTACAACACAATTAGTATATGCAGTCTGCACTGCCCTGTCCAACTGTTGACTACTTAATGTGTCTACGTAAGTATGCATATTTCGGCATTGGGAGTCAAATCCATCCTTTGATGTTGAGGTACCACATTCTAAAGAAATGAGGATTAAAAATAGACCAGATATTTTCATCGCATTTTCATTCTGTTCATCGCATCAAACTTGTTTTCTTCTCTCTTCATAGAATTGTTCTCATCTGGTTGATTACTGCGAAAAGTGTGTGGAAATTATGCAAAGTATCCTCTTGTTTCTACTTATCAGTGGTGACATTTACAATGTTCACATAAACAGTAAGTCGGCTTGAACTGAGTTATTGTTACACGTACATATGAACTGACGTCTTACTTTGCTAGATAAATACAAATAGAACACGATAAATCAGGTGTGACAGAGATAATGTTAAGTGTTAAACTCACAACTTACTATGTTATCAGCAAGAAAATCGGCTCTTTCACCATCTCCTATGTGTTATCTAATCGTGACACTATTTGAATTTACTAATAATTTTAGCTACTAAGGTTATTATCACTGTTTTACACATTCTTTGAAATTTCGATTTTATTATCATTGTAAATACCAAAATAGCCTGGTATTATGAATCCTGTAATATTATATTTCGTCTTTGCTTTTCCGCTTGCTTATCGAGTAAATTAGATGCAACACTGTAGTGAATCATGAGAATTCCCCACTCTATCATGACTACTGTTTTGGAATAAAGCAAATCATTATGATTGTTAGTAGTAGTAGTACTGATTTTGTGTTTAGGATTAATACTCTTGATCTGACAGATATATTACTCTTTCATGACACTTTATTATTTCTTGAACTTCCAGAAAGAGAAACACTGAGCAGCTCAGAAGCTAGTAGCGTGATTTTGTGCATTCTCTCCGTAAGAATAATTGTGCAGTTATTCTCGAGAAATTATCCGAGAATAAAATAGTCTGAGTGACATAAATGGTGTTCTAATTTTGTGCGGATTTTTATCAAAATAAATTACTTAATTCCATATTTTTAATGTAATTGAGTCTGTCTCACTATTTTTACTATGTGTTCTAGGTATTCCGTTGAACACAAATGGACTTCCACAGGTTCCCATTTTGCCTCGAACACTTCCTCCATCCGGACAATCCCCAGATTTCGCACCACCTCCATCATTCGGACAACCTCCACAATTCGCACCACCTCCGTCATTCGGACAACCTCCACAATTTGGATCACCTCCATCATATGGACAACCTCCACAATTCGCACCACCTCCGTCATTCGGACAACCTCCACAATTTGGATCACCGCCATCATTCGGACAACCTCCACAATTCGCACCACCTCCGTCATTCGGACAACCTCCACAATTTGGATCACCTCCATCATATGGACAACCTCCACAATTCGACACCTCCTCATTCGGACAACCTCCACAATTTGGATCACCGCCATCATTCGGACAACCTCCACAATTTGGATCACCTCCATCATTCGGACAACCTCCACAATTTGGATCACCGCCGTCATTCGGACAACCTCCACAATTCGGACCACCGCCATCATTCGGACAACCTCCACAATTTGGATCACCTCCATCATATGGACAATCTCCACAGTTCGGCCCACCCTCTCCTTCAGGATCTCCATATGGATCTGCACCGATTAACCAACCACCTTCTGGTGGACATTCCCCTCCACTCGGATTACCGATGTCTGACAAAGACGGATCAAAACCTTCAGCTCCAGGTGAATCCTAACATCCATCAGCGGAGAAATAAACAAGAATCTCATTCCAAGCGAAAACATTGGTATTTCTGTGATTTCGTTAACACTAGAAATGTTTTCAACACATAAACGCCTATGAAAACAACAAAGACCTTCAACTACTAGATTTATCTGTCGAAAAATGAAGAGAAAGAAAAATCAAACCTATTCATTCACGTTCATCAGAGATATCAGTACTCTTTCATAATTTTGCCTACCACATACTATTTTTTCTCGCTCAATACGAAAGCATGCTTGTACATACTCCTTGATAAGAGACGAGAATTCAAAGTGAACCGTTTTTACGCTGGAATTCTGTCAGAAGTTAAGATTGTAAAATTTTATGACTCAATGCATAAAAACATTGTACTTTATTTTGCCAGTCAGTAAATGTGTAAATCAAACTTTGATGAAATTGTACCTCATATTTTCCCTGTATATACTCTTGTCTATTGACACATCACATTTAGCCAAATTCGAATTCATTATGTCACTATATGTGTGTGCATTTCTAATGTTTACACTGTACCAGTTTTCTTAAATACATTGATTCTCTAATCTTTTATTTTTATGTGACATCAGACTTGTATAAATGCGAATCACTCTCATTCTCTTTCAGTTTCACATCACACCCTTCTCATTTCGACAGTAAATTGTAATCATCTTTGTTGAATTATTTGTTCTATTCTGTTTTGTTTTAAACAATGTACCAATTTCGCCTTCCTGTCTCATTATTATTAATAAATGTCTATAATATACTTATTTCGAGTGAAGAAGCCAGCTATTGATTATTATTATTATTTAATACATTTCATTGTTGCATAGGGTTTCCAGTGGAATTCAGTGTTTCAACAGCCCATGTCCACCTCACCGAGTCCTCGAGAGTAGTGTTTGGCTGACTAAATGAATTCCCATACGCCTCCATCTTTTCTGAAGCGATTTTCCCTATTTTAACCTAGAAAAACACCGAATTCGTCATTCCCCATTCGCATTCCCTTCAGCCTTCTTCCTGGTGTCAATCACACGGTCTCCTCAAGCCATGTCGAATGCATCCTGATTTCATTCTGTATATTGATTGGTCAACAAGTTCTTGGGTCGTCAGATGACGAATTTCTTAGCTGTTAATCTCTTTTCAAAATTCGATCTTCTCTTTCGAACTAGGGAAGGTAGTCGATGACAAAATTTTGCAATAAACTCTTGGAATCAGTTTTGTTGACTCACTAAACCTCTGAATCATGCATAGGCATAGGCAATCTTGCATTTGAAATTCTCATCCATGCCACTTATAGTTGACATGATGCTAATAGTTATCCGAATAAATTTCATGATGGTAGACGATTGAGGATCTGTAACAGTGTCCCGTTTCCTGTTGGAATGCTTTATACTCAGACTGAACAATAACAGAAGACACTTATGGCATTTAAAAGTGTATTTCGTGTAAAATAATCTGTTAATGTTTGGATACAAATATCTGAGGAATACTAATCAACGAAATATAATTCCATACAAGCTAAATTTTCAAAACATGGCGTAATTGGAACATCAGATATCACAGTCCTTATTTACCCAGAGAACTGATGTTGTCTATACCAGTATAGAATATCAGTGGTAACACCTACAAAACAGTCACAAGTTCAGAGGATAGCTAAATGGCTAGGCTGGCAACTGAACAAACATTTCTACATAACGAATTTGGCAAATAGTGTATAAACATGGGATACTTCTAGTAGAGTATACTCCACAAGAAAGCAATCAGATATACACCACCCACATTCTGAACACTGTGAGATGACAGTCATTAACCTAATTATGTTAAATACTGATCCGTCACAAACATGGTGTTCCACTATGTGAAGATGCTTTACATGTGTCTTATCATGAAATAGAAAAATCACGAGGACACACATTTACCATTTGTGTACTTACAAACGGTCGTGTGATGAATTTCTCTGAACATATCGATTGAACTCAATACGTGCTACAGATAAATAAGCCGTAATAATAATACTCGTAATCATAACTAAATTTACCAACGTAAGATTAAAAGAGATTTCCCACTCAAATATTATTTGTCTCAGCGAGAAATGTCTATTGCACCTCAGACTCTTGTAAACCATATCTAGTTGAAAATAATTATCACCTTCTATTCGCCGTCCCAATTATGTGGAATCAAACAAGAATTGAATCCATGTAAAGTTATGTATTTAAATGCGATTGTACCGCTTGTGAAAATCAAATCGCCGAAAAGATATTTTTGCTGAACTTCGTGTTCTCTTATTTTTAAGGATCATGAGTAGACTATTTGTGGCGGTCTGCCTAAATTACTGAGCTACAAAATATCTATCGACCAGTTAAATACATAACAACTATGATGACCTTGACCTTGGCGGCCTGTTCGAATTTTCGGGCCAGCTACTATAATATCTACATTTTGCATCCAGTCTACCGTTTACTAATATTTATTTATCACCTAAATATGAATTCTAGCAGAATCATTTACTCTCGTACTTTTATCAATCATTTACGACCAAATGACTTTCATATTCCAAGGAAATCAAGGAGGAAACATCGTAGTGGTTGGCAGAGAGCTCCCAAACGTACACCAATACACTTAACTACGGTCCCCGTCGTAATGAACACAAACTGCCGCTCTCTGCCAAACAAGATAATGTACCTACAATCTTTGATTTCCACTGACACTTATCATAATACTGCCATAATCACATTACAAGGAAAGTGGTTACATGAACTGTATGGTGACAATCTTATCTCACTAAAGGACTTTATTTTATTTCGACAAGACCGTCAATGTTGTAATAAGAAAAATGGTGGTGGCGTTGCAACTTTTATTCGCTCCAAATGGTCTGTTTCTAATAATATCTCCTTCCCATTCACAAATGACTTCATTGACTGTATTACTGTCAAATGTCGTCCCAAACACCTCCCCAAATATAAACACATCTTTGTTACAAACATTTACATTTCTCCTAGTTGCTCACCATCTGATCTATCTAATTTTGATGACGAATTCACCATGTTTGCTGCTACCAACTTCGACAATTCTCTATCCGCTATTACTGGGGATTTCAACTCCTCAGATTGCTCTTTTCTTGAAGCACTTGGTCACACAAACATAGTAGAATTTCCCACTCGACTTGACAAAACACTCGATTTAGTTTTTACTAATGACGAAGGAGTATATGAAACACGTAGACGTTCACCGATACTAAACTCCGATCACTGCATTGTCCGTGTTTTACCAAAAATATACAGCAAAACACATATTAAAATCTTCTCACACCTGTCTATGAAAGCACAACAAAGAAGCTACACATCTGACAACCTGCTCAATCTAATGTGCAGGTGAAAAAATACTAACTGGGATTTATTCTATGAAAGTACATTAGATGACTCAATCACCAATATAACGGATTATCTTAAGTTCTGCCTTGACATATGTTGTCCAAAACAAACACTGTTCAAACGCCTCGACCGCTTCTCGTCTCCCTATCTCAAACAACTCCACAGGCGAAAAGAAACATTATATAAACTCAAAGATAAGTTAGGACATAAAAAGAATAATGCTCAAATCAAATGTGAAATCGAAAATCCTAATGCTATCTATAACCAAACACTTTTATCATGCAGATCTCCTATCAGCATGTGGAAACGTATCAGTGAAATTACTGGCAATAGTAAGCGATGTAATGTTTTCCCTCTTATGATGTTAACGCTCTTAATCAGTATTTTATACGCTCTCCTTCTACTATAACCACTTCTAACGTTACTAATCTTGTAGCTGATAACTTCCAGGACTTTAATACTCTCGATGTTTTGAAATGTCTTAAAACTCTTAAGCCCTCACATAGTCTTGGCCCTGATAGCATACCTGAATGTGTCCTAAAACAATGCGCAGATGCTTTATGTTCTCCTCTAACTAACATCCTAAATGCTTCCTCCTCCGAAAACGTTGTACTTGTTCCATGGAAAGACATCAAAATAGTCCCTGTACCTAAACCTGGCAATAGCAGGAACGTAAACTTCAGACCCATTGCCATCATTTCCCTGCTTCGGAAGCTTATGGAAAAACTAGTACTTCCTAAACTCAAACCCTCCCTTAAAGCTTTGAAGAACCCAGACCGTTTGCCTACAGACAGGGTAGGAGTATCTTAGACGCTGCAGTCGTCTTACACAACAGTATCATCTCATCATCAGATAAAGGTGCCGAATACGTCCGCTGCACGTTTCTCAACTTCACTTCTGCTTTCGACTCTGTATCTAGATGTCTATTGCTAAATAAGCGCTCCATGACACAAACTGATGCCTGGGCCACTAACTGGTTGCATTCCTACTTCTCTAACAGAATGCAGTATACCGTATACAAAGGCAAATCCTCTCTGCTGTGCTCACTGAAGATGGTGTCCCCCAAGGTGCTGTAATCTCCCCACTTCTCTTTTCCTTCCTTCTACATGACCTACCATCTTCAAATGACATTAATTTTGTCAAATATGCTGACGACCTAACTGTATCTTGCCTGTCAAATATCAAAGTGGCTGCTCTAAACTAAACAGCCTTTTATCAGAAATCAGCCAATGGTTCAAGGAAAACGGTCTCACCTTAAACCCCTCCAAATGCCAAACAGTCAATTTCACCTTTAGGCGCAAATCTGACCTAAACAAACTGGTCAACACTCCCGAGGTGTGCAACATGGGTGGATGGCACTGAAATATAAACCAAGCCTGAAACTAAATACCTAGGCGTCATTCTATCTTCTGATCTTTCCTGGTCGTCTCATATCTTGATGATTTCTAAGAAAATATTCCGTCTTACCTGCTACATCACGAAGTTCAGATATTCCGGTTTAACCCAAGCCTTATTCCTACAATTCGTTAACTTCCGCATTCTGCCTATTATACTCTATTGTTCCCAATTAGTTTATCCTGGGCTACTGAAGAAAGACTATACCTTATTACGCAGGATGATAAAGGCTGTC